ACAGTGAGTGAGTTGAAAATGCTGGAACTGTCTTGGATTAACGTAGAGAAATATTTAGAGGCTTAGGGAGATTGGAATGTTAGAGTGGAATTGTCACTTAAGATCTACTCACCCACCCTGGGAGGGTCCAGAAGACACACTTTTCATCACAACTGTAAGAAATATATTTGTGAGTGGAGCCCCCGCATCCTCGAAGAGCTTTGTGATTGCTCTTCTTTGACACCAGACCCCCAGACCTCACAGGGTGAACTGCAGTCACTGAACTGAAAAACCTAAATGCAATGGGAGTAATTGGATCCTGAGGTGACAGAAGCCAAATGGCAGCACATAACTGCCAAAGGCAAGGTGCTGAATTATGGTGTAGGCTAGTGAATCACTGTGTTCCTAGAAGGGAAATAGATGATTTCATATGCATGAGCAGAGAAGTTCTAAGTTATATGAAGACATGTCTAACCTGAGTCACAGAAAGTCATGGACTTTCAATCAATTTTCAGAATTAAGCCAGTTTAAAAAAACCCTTTGAATAAGGGGAGACTGGTTCCTTAAAGGAAGGACCCCAATACATTTCCCCAAAATTATACTGTTAATCTTTTGTACAGCCTTTCCCAAAGGAACCTATGACCTTTTACCCAGTATCTGTGCCTTAGGGAAAAGGAAATAATCAGACTTTTCAGGGACTAATGGACACTGGCTCTGAACTGACACTGATTTTAGGAGACCCAAAATGTCCCTGTGGGTCCCCAGTCAGGTGGAGTTTTAGTTCAGGTCTATCACAAAGTGGGTGCAGAGGATCTGTGATGCCGTCCTGTAGTTATTTCCCCAATCCTGGAATGGATAATTGGCATAGATACCCTCAGCAGCTGGAAGAATTCCCACATTGGTTTCCTGACCTGTGAAGTGAGAGCTATTATGGAGGGAAAGGCCATGTGGAAGACATTAGAACTACCTCTACCTAGGAAAAGATTAAACCAAAAGTAGTGTTACATTCCTGGAGGTGTTGCAGAGATGAGTGCCCCCACTGAGAACTTGAAATATATGGTACTTTCAAAGGGGTGAAGGTAGTTATTCCCATCACATCCCCATCTCTTCCATTTGGCCTGTGCAGAAGACATAGATCTTAGAGAACGACAGTAAATTATCACAAGCTTAAACAAGTGGTGACTCTAATCGCAGCTGCTGGACCAGATGTAATTACATTGCTTGAAGAAATTAACACATCTTCTGGTACCTGATATACAGCTATTGATCTAAAAAATGCTTGCTTTCTCCATACATGTCAAGAAAGCCTACCAGAAGCAATATGCTTTCCGCTGACAAGGCCTGCAATACAGCTTCGCTGTCCTACCTCAGGGCTATATCAACTCTACAGCCCTATGTCATCATTTAATTCAAGGGACCTTGACCACCTTTCTTTCCCACAAGGCATCACAGCGGTCCATTACATTGCTGATATGCTGATCTGGACCTTGTGAGAGTAAAGTAGCAACTACTTGAGACTTGTCAGAGGGTGGGAAATAAATCTGACACAAATTCGGGGCCTTCCTGCCTCTGGGAAATTTCTAGGGATCCAGTATTGTGGAGCACGTCAAGATCTCTCTCTCTCTCTCTTTTTTAGTAGCCCTAACAATAAACCTTTATGTATCAATGTGACACAATCAAATTGGAGAAAATATTTACCATGGATAAAAAAATGTGTCCTAAAGACAGGAAGGAGGATGAATGGCTGTCTTGCCAGATGCTGCAGCATCATTTCCAAAGTTCTTCAGGAATCAAATCATGGGATTAGCTTGATATGACTCTTTTAATAGCCGAAATCCAGAAGGGAGACAATGGTTAAGTCTATAGTTTTGCGAATGACACCGACTTCTTTCTCGTGGAGAAATGCTCCTTTAGGAAATTCCATGAAGACTGTGTGAGCCCAGAAATAGTAGTCGAGTGCCAAGTCAGGAATGTTCTTTTTGGAAGTCACATATCAGTCACTGGGATGCACCTGGGTTTATGTCCGGGGAGGGGATAGGGGGACGAGGTGCAGCATAGCCAAAATCCAGGTATAGGATGATTATACACAACCCAGGAGCAATTCCTTGTCCATTTTTTGAAGAAGTAGGTGAGATGACGCCAACATTCTTTTTATTTTTGTGAGTTGGAGTCTCACTCCGTCGCCCAGACTGGAGTGCAGTGGCCGCTCCCGGCCACCGCAGCCTCGACCTGCCGGGCTCCGGCGATCCTTCCGCCTCAGCCTTCCGAGGAGCCGGAATGACAGGCGCGTGCTACCACGCCCGGCTGATTTTTTGATTTATTGTAGAGATGAGGTCTCGCTGCCCAGGCGGGTCTCGAACCCACGGGCTCAGGCAATCCACTCACCTCAGCCTCCCAAAGGCGCGGGATGATAGGCTGAGCCACCAAGCCCGGCTGAGGCCAACATTCTAACAAATGTTGAACTCTAAAAATACAGGTATAATAAAACAGAAAAGATTATGTGTATAGTTTTGACCAAAGTAGAACCGTATAATGGTTTGTTTGGCTGGAGAATATGACGTATGAGAGAATTGACCCCTCAAAGCAGCATGTTTGCTGTCTTGTTTATTTTACTTTTGCATTGACTCCCTTCTGCCTTCTTTTTCTCTTTCCTAAGTATAAAGACCTTGAATTCAGGGCCTTATCTGTCGTTACCCTCTGCTTCTCTGTACCTGGAGCCACACCTGGCTCATCTATGAGATCAATAAATATCACTGAATGGATGAGCGATTTTGAAAGATTCCATATTATGGGGGAGACTATGACATAAATCTGAAAACATCACACATGGTCACTTTTAAACTTTCTGGGACTTGTACTAAATGCTTATTGAGTTAGACACTCTTCAGAGCATTTCACTGTTCGGTGAAAGATAACTTGTTGCATCTAGCATGGCATTGGCACTGCTGAGTGTCCAAAATGTCATCAATAGAGACAAACACTGAGTCCCCAGTATAGTACCATTCCCTGGGGTGAAACATGCTCCTACAAGAAGACACAACAAAGATTTCATCGAACTGGAAGTTAGAGCTATTGCCCAGCTACTTTGGGCTCCTCATTCCTTTGAATCAACAGGAAAAGAAGGGAGTTACTCTACTGGGCAGGGGATTGATATTAAAATCCAAGGGGAGCCGGGCTCAGTGGCTCAGCCTGTAATCCCGCACTTTGGGAAGCTGAGGTGAGTGGATTGCCTGAGCCCGCGGGTTTGAGACCTCATCTCTACAATAAATCAAAAAAGTAACCGGGTGTGGTAGCGCGCGCCTGTAGTTCCAGCTACTCGAAAGGCTGAGGAGGAAGGATCGCTGGAGCCCAGCAGGCAAGGCTGTGGTGGCCGGGAGCGGCCACTGCACTCCAGTCTGGGTGATGGAGTGAGACACCAGCTCAAAAAAAAAAAAAAAAAAACACCCAAGGGAAATTTGAACCACTACTCCAAATGGAGGTAAGGAAGAGTCTCTTAGTATTACCAAGCCCTGTGATTAAAGTCAGTGGGAAACTACAACAGCCCGATCCAGAGAAGAACTCCTAGTGGTCCAAACCCTTCAGAAATGAAGGTTTGGCTCACCTCACCATGTAAAGGAGCAACCGAAGTGCTTGCTGAGAGGTAGTGGAAGAAGGTAGCTATAAATACCAGCTATGACCATGTGACCACTCTAATTGTTGTGAGTACTCCTTCGATATTTTGGATGTGTGTGTATGTATTTATGTTATGACATATCAAGGAGAAGAGCATACACCACTCTAGGACTTGACCTCCTGTTTATGAAATGGGTTCGTGCATCTTTGGTTGTACATAGTTTTGCAGTATCGTGTTAGGTGGAATTATAACCTTGTTTTTGTCTTCGTTTAGAGTTTGAGGAGATGCGCATGGATGCCACATTGACAAGGGGTGGACTGCTGATGGTAAATTTTATGTGTCAACTTTACTGGACCGAGCCGGGCTTCTAATTGCTTTTTTAAAAATTTAGTTATTATGAGGATGTGGGGTACAATTAAGGGTTAGGTATATAAACACCAACATGCAGGTACCCTTGTTTCTTTTTTTTTTTTTTTAGATTAGAAAATATAGTTTATTTAGAAAGTAAATTAGAGACAGAGAGAAAGAGGAGACTCACCTCCCCAAGGTAGGGGAGGGGGCCAAAACCAGGAAGCATGGCCTGACTATACCTCAAAGAGCACATGGTCACACCAGAGTCTAGTAAGGCAATGGCTTTATCATTCTCCTAAAGTCACTATATTCACTCAGAATTATTATTATTATTTTTTTTTTGAGTTGGAGTCTCACTCTGTCACCCAGACTGGAGTGCAGTGGTCGCTCCCGGCCACCGCAGCCTCGCCTGCTGGGCTCTGGTGATCCTTCCGCCTCAGTCTTCTGAGTAGCTGGAATTACAGGCGCGCGCTACCACGCCCGGCTAATTTTTTGATTTATTGTAGAGATGAGGTCTCGCCAAGTTGCCCAGGTGGGTCTCGAACCCGCGGGCTCAGGCAATCCACTCACCTCAGCCTCCCAAAGGCGCGGGATTACAGGCTGGAATTATTATTTTTTATTTGGAGTCTCACTCCCAGGCTGGAGTGCAGTGGCATGCTCACAGCTACCACAGCCTTGACCTGATGGGCGTAGGCAATCCTTCTGCCTCAGCCTTCCAAGCAGCTGGAACTACAGGTTTGCCCTATCACACCTGGCTAGTTTTTTGATTTATTGTAGAGATGAAGTCTCGCCATGTTGCCTAGGCTGGTGTTGAACCCCCGGGCTCAGGCAATCCTCTCATCTCCACCTCCCAAAGTGCTGGGATTATAGGCGTGAGCCACCATGCCCGGCTCAGAATTCCTTTTACGGTGCCCTGTTACCATAGGTACCTAGTAAATTTTGCTCCAAAAGTTTGGTCATATAAATTTTGCTCCAAAAGTTTGGTCACAACCTTGTTATGTTTCTAAATGTCAAGGTTTAGGAGAGGTTTTTTGTCTTTTCTATGAGACCATCATACCTTTACTTTGCCATTCTGAAAAAAGAGAGTCCAGTGATGACCATCTTGACTGCTGGAGATGAGAAACTCCTTCACATACATGCTGGTAAGGAGAGATTTTACTCCCTGGGTGGTTATTCCTGTGACTTTCATTGTCTTCTGGAAGTCCACTTGCAGCCACTCTTTTGGATCATTCACCTGAGGAAGACAGTGTTAGTGTAGTATCCTATTGGTCACTATTTGCTCCCAGAAATCCCCAAATTCCCTTTCAACCATATCACAGCATTTATCCTGCTTTCTTTTTTTTTTTTTTTTTTTTTG